ACATGAGGTACAATATTTCTTAACAGGTATCACTGAATGAACGAATGTCATAGACACAGAAATATGGACATCTGGCTTCAACCAAGGCAGAAGAGCTGCTGCCTTCCTGTGGTCATTGGCAGCTCCCTTTCTCCTCCTGAGCTTAATACCCATTTATAAGCTCTGGTAACCCACATGGCTTCTTTCTGCCAAAATAACTCATTCCCATTACTGTTCACATGTTTTCCTAAAGGCACGGTGGGGTGGGCGAGGGGAGGGTGATAAAAATGCAAATTGACCATGACTCAATGATTTGTTGTCAATTTTAATAGGAGGAGTGAACTCAGAACAGTTTCAAGTAATAACGTATAAAAAGATCTTGTACATTTTTTTCTTTTTTTGCCTGAACATGATATGGTTTGTGCATAGCACATACATATTTAAAAAATAGAAGCATCATATCTTACAAGCACATGATTGGACAGCTTCTAGGTTTTCCTATCTTCTGTACCAAGGCTTGAGGACAACTCTGCCCTGGGACCCAGTCTTAAGTACTTTTGATTTACAGAAAGAGAAAACCACATGAGGACACAGCTGTCTGAATGCTGGAATTCCAGTAGTTCAATGAGGTATACAAACATGGTTTCGTGTTGGCTTTTTGCACAATGGACTTGTCCTAATCATTCCTACTTTAGGACTTCTACTAGGAGGTAGTAGGACAAGTGACTTATTCCTTGGGGAAGAAAGGGTACTGCTATCACACGCTTGGTAGGCACAGGAGTGACAAGTGGCAGAGAACACCTCCTCAGTGACAGCTGACTCAGTCTTTGTGGAAAAGATTGAGACAGAAAGATGCAGGAGTTTTCTAATATATATCCAGAAAGGGACAGACGGGAATAGACATCCTGGTGAAGGCCAGCAAATGTATTTGGTAGATACACCTGCCAGAGACATATGCACCATTTTGGTTCCAAATGAGGAACAGCATTGGCCATCAAACACTAGGAGAAAGAAAAGAAAGCTCATGGACTTTTATATTTCCTTGTTCTGATAGACTTTCATAGAAGGAGAACTCGAAGGATCTGGAGTCTATCAAGGATGAAAGAGGCGGCCCACAGCTAGCATGGAAAGGACAATTCCAAACCACTCAGCATGGGACCTGATTAGGAGAGAATTTCAGGCCTGGGTGATAGGCCTAGGGAGAGGAGAGGGGTTTGTGCTGTGGCGCGAATGACAAGAGAAAACATTCTTAAGTCAAAGAATAATTCTGATAAGGGACTTGGAGTGTGTGTGACATTTTGGGAGGTTGGAGGTTTTGGAGGTTGGGAGGTGGCGATAGGAGGGGAAGGTTTGAAGGATAATTATAAGGAATTAATTGCAAAATTATATGCTGCTTTCCAAGGGAGGTAAAAAAAAATTATATGTACATGGGAAGTGGGAAGGGAAAAGGTCATGAAACAAACACAATCTACAGCGTATGCAAGGCATTTAGAGTTTTCTATGTGATCCTTCCACTGCCTTGAAGAAAGTGGGGACTTCATAAAGAAGCTGAGGCATCCCATCATTTCTGTGCTAACCTCTCCACACCTGAGAAGTGATTTTCAAGGCTGTGCAGATACACTGCTTTCTTCTTTATCATTTACTCTTGAGGAGGGACTAAAGCTGCCTCTTTGTTCCTGGAACCCAAATTTACATGCAGCTGCCAAAGAAAGATCAGGTAGGAGAGAGACCGATTAGCTACTCAAGTGTATGAACTAGGGACACTGCTTAGGATTTGAGGAAGGGAGATGCAAGTAATTTTTAGTACATGGTCAGTGGAAGGTGGGGCTCCTGCTTGTCCCACTGCCTCCAACAATGTCTTTTGCAGCCTCCTGGTCTCAGTGGGGCTGACACCTGACAACAGTGGGTGTGGTGAGCAGGTAGCACCCAACACCCAAGTCCAGACACAGTGGCTGGAGAGAAAGGACTGCAAAAGCCCTTTGCTGATCTCACTCTTCCTGTTCCTTGTCAGGAGGTACCGTTCTTTGGAAAAAGACCTCACACTGGGAAAAGCAGAGGGTCGGTGAAAGAGGAGAAAGGCTCTCAACAGGATTGATGGACGCAGTGACTATACAGTGGGCTTGAACATGGTGGTGATTATTTAGGGTGGCACAGGATAGGGTTTTGATCTGTTGTTCATAGAGTCATTATGGGTCAGAGTTGACTTGGCAGTTCCTAAGAACACCAAGTCATTTGTAGGCCAAAGAGAAAGCCTTTGGGCTGCTTCCTTTGGACGAGAGGATTTAAAAAAAATCAGTTATATATTTGTGAATCTCAGAAGGTTATTAAAAGTATTTACCAGCTGGTGCTGGTTGGGCTCTGCTACCAGTCAGAGCAGATGCCCAGCAGCTCCTGGTGGATGTTGTTCTTAAGACATACATGCCAAACTCTACTGTTATAGAGTCGATTTTTATGCATCGTGACCCTCCATTAGTTTTCTGAGGCTGTAAATCTTTAAGGTGAGAGACTGTTTCCTGTGGAGCAGCTGGTGTATTAGAACTGCTGACCGTTTGATTAGCACAACATGCAATTCACTACATCATGAGAGCGCCTTACATCTCTTTATGCTTGGCTGAATATTAAACCTGCTGATCCTAGGTATTTTAAAAAAAAATTCTATTTCTCACTCCTAGCATGAAAAATGGCTACTTGGGGAACTCCGTGTCAGGGTCAGGCAATTCTGTGAGCCCGTAGGGAGATGCAGAAAGGTCAGGCAGTCGAAGCCAGCTGACTCTTTTAGAAGATTGCCTCCTCCCATGCCAACGTGATTCAAAGAGATAGAATGAAACTTCTGCTTGAAGGTTGAAAACATTTTTCTCTTACTCATAACTCCATCTGCTCATCTATAGTGTAGAATATCCATTTAAAGTGGAGTTTTCCTACACTCCCACCAGATTACACCAGGAATTGATAACGCACCTTAATTCAGAGCACATTAGTTTCTAATGTGCTCTGTTAGAGACACATTGGTCCTGGCCAGACCTCCAGAAAGAGCATTCAGCCTCACCCCCTTCCTCCAAGTAGAGCAGCATATCCAACAGTCAAGGAGCACCAACTTTAACCCTTTTCTAGTTGATCCAAAGACTCTGCCATCTTCAGTTTCCAACCCAGCTGTGGTTGAGACCACACTGAGTGCATAAGCTTTTGTTCAGTCTCAGCTCACCTTGATGTGGCCTTGTCCTCCTTCCCCTGATACTTGCTGGCCAAAAGGGGTCGGGGTGGTCAGGATGGTGCCTCTCTCTTGGATTGCCAACACCCATCTCCATCTTCAGCTCACACCCCCTTGCCCCAGTCTAGATCTATCTATAGATGGATGCATCTACAAATAGAGCGGTATGTTGAAGATGAAGGTATTTGCAGCAGATGAGGGATTGTCTTGCAGGCAGCGGCCCCTGAGAATAGCAGAGGGTGTCAGGTCATTTTGTAACTCGATGGCTCACGTATGCCAAAAATATTTGCACTCTGATACGGCTCTCTCTGGTTTCAGATTTAGGAACGTTCCAATGGTTTAGGAATCCGAGGGCTCCAGGAAGACAACATTTATAGTCGCTTGGGGAACCTCTGCTTTAAATCCTCCCAAAGGACAGGAGGCAAGACGGCGAGGAGCTGGCTCAGCGTGGCTTCTTGATGTCTCAGGATTATCACTACAGGCAGAGCCCGAGTTACAGGCAAGACCCATTCCTAAGCATGTCTTGAAACCCACTTGTAGGTAAGTCAGAACAGGTGCCTGTGGTTCTTCTCTGACCTTTTCCTAGTGCAAGAAAAAGCTTGAAACCACGTGCAAAAAGTGAAGTTGATTGCAAAGAAGAATCTGTTGCAAAAAGAGGTCAGTTCTGTTGTTTCAGTATGAGGGCAAATTTACATAACAACAAGGGTAAGTTTGAATTGTCCCTAAATTGAAAGCGCTGAGGCCTGTAGACTGCCGGCATTCTTCTACCAGAGGGAGGAAGAGGGGTACATTCTGGAGTCTATGGTGCCTATTTGACTGCATTTAGGCCACAGTGTGTATGGGGATGGGGACAACTGGAAAGGAAGTGAGAATACCAGATGAGAACTTGGGTGAATTTCCTGGACATAGTTGGAGGCAAATGATCATTTGGAGTCCAAAGACTCTCTACTTCCTTCATGCCCTATTTTGCACCTCCCATCCTTTGCCAAGGAAGTTGCCATTATTAGGATCCTTGTCATACGAGGTTAAAATAAGACCTGGTTCGAAGTGAGAAAACATGATGGGCAAACAGCCTGGCCCTTGCTGGTTCCTGAAGCCATGCTGAGTCCTTCAGGCAGAATGGCTCTCCACAGAACATCCAGTCCCTTCCGCTGCCTCTTGCAGGCATCCTCCGCTCCTCTGACACTGCTCTGGGTGAGCTTAGGACTGTCTGTCCCTTCTCCCCAGCCTTCCGGACAATGCATCCCAGAACCCTCACTGTCAAGAGGTACCTGGTCACGCTCTTTCTGGGTTGCAATTACATCTTATTCCTTCTCAGCCTGTTCTCTCCGCACTTAGAAGACAGCTGTTCTGCACCACCTGTGCCACCCGTGCAGTTAGTGACCCCTGCATGGCAAGGTGATTGGAAAGAGGCCCATTGGGAGCACACATTAATCCTGCTGGTTTGACAAATGACATTCTTGCAGGCAGATTCCTGCAATGATGATGCTGGGACAGAGAAACCCGATGCTTTGAAATGCTTTTGCTCTGAGGATCTATGTCAAGATGTATTATATCAGCACACACATCCTGCCATCCTGACCACCTCCCGTGTGCATTCCACAAATGTCTGCTCTACCTTCTCTCCTCAGGTGAGGGCAGGGCTCGGAATCCCCTGCCATTCTTGGAAGTTGACGGCGACTCCTCACTTGGGTGGGTTCCGTGCCATGAGGTCCAGTGGCAAGAGGATGGGATGCAAGTGTGGCCAAGGGAACCAGCTGGAATCTCCTCAAACGTAAGAGAAGCCTGACGCAGGAGTCATGGTGGACGAGTGGAGTTGTTCACTTGTGCAAAATTCCAATAGAAAAGACGCTGCTTTCAACCCATCAGCCTTCTCTCATAGGTCCTTATATCCTGGGAAGGAAGTGGGTAACAGTCATGATTGGGGACACCTTGCTGCCCCGCTTTACTCGTCCATATTTGCTCAGTGCAATGTAGGTCCCTCGGTACAGGTCTGACTCATAAGCATTGTAATTGTTGGGCAAGAGGGTTTCTCTGAACTTGCATTCCTCTTGGAAGCTGGGCTGTGAAAGGAAAGAACAGACAAGAAAGGCTGAATTATGAATGATGAGAACTGCTAAGTCTTGCACAGGCTTCCCTGTCCGTACCCTTTCTCTTTGCAAAACAACCATCACAGCTCTAAGCCATCCTAGGTGGATCTAATGAAAGGGTGGCATTAGATGAGACTTCAAAGTCATCTTCTTTTCTTTAGGACACAGAAGTTCAGGTAGGGAGATAGGTAGAGCTATAGCTATTGTATCTGGATGTTCTGACTCAGTTCAGGGCACTGACTGGATGTTAAGCACAGAGAAGAGAACCTATTCTATTCAGAGAAAGGACCAGGCAAGCATATCGTAGTAGTTTTCTCAGGTGCACTATGAGAACAATCTAGTTGAGTAAGATCAGGAGCAAACTGTTATTTCCACTCCCTTGTTTCATGACGTAGGAGCTCTGGTGGCTTAGTCCAGAGGGAGTTGCACTGTTAACCCAAAGCCTATGCTTTTCTGACGGTTCAAGTCTACCAGTGGTTCCTCAGGAGAATAATGGGCAGTCTTCCACCATGTGATTCACAGAGCTATGCGTTAGGTCTAACTGATAACAGTGAGTATGAGAGTTCTGTAACCTTGAGCCAGTTCTTCCCTCTCAGCCTCCATTTCCTTTTCTGTAAACTGTGTGTCCTGGAGGGGAATGGGAACAGGCAGTGGGCATGCTGAATGCCCAGACAATTTCTTATCTCCTTCTTTCTTTGCTAGCACGGTGTATTGAGCATGCTAATATTGTCTAGTCTTTCAGTGTTCCCCAGTCCACTAACTCTGCTCTCTTGGTCTTGTCTTCGAGCCTAGAGATGCTCAGTGACTCCTGGTTCTCCAGGTCTGTAAAAGGACAGAGATGGTGCAGGAACAGTGAATTTTATGGGGTAAAGAACTGGGCTTTCTGTGTGACAATTGGTGCCATGGAGTCTGGGGTCAATGACAAATTGCCCCCTTCAGTGCTAATTTAGTGGAAAAGCATCTGTGGACCACCTGTTTAGAAAAAAGAACTCTGGACTTGCTGTCACATATCTACAAGTTTATTCCCAATAAATCACCTCAAGTCCTCCTTTATTCCTAGAAAAGAGTCTGATTTCCACCTTGAGCTTGTCAGGGCGGCTGCACTGAGTGAGAGTTAGAGGAATTGTTGTGCTATTGAGGGGAAGCAGTTTGGGGAATCTAGAGGAAGAAAAGACTACATGGGAATCAGGATACCTAGCATACAACCCGAAGAATAAATACTGAAATACAGAGAGAGAAACAAGTGGAGTATAAATTCTGACTGCTTCCTGCTGACTGAGACCATCAGCTATAAAAAACCTCCTCAATGGCTGGCTAGCTGTGCCAGGAGTGTCGTCTGACCGTCTCTAAAGGAATAGTAGTATGAGCATCCTGGCTTGGCTGACATTGGGGGATGGACGAGTGCCTCTTCCTGTTATGAAAGGATGGCAGCGAGCTAGTCCTCAGGGCTCCCAGGCTTTCACTGTGTACCTCACTGGCAGCACTTACCACAACATGCAGTCTGCACCCACACGGTCTCCTTTCCTGTAGACTCCATCATCCCTGAGTCTGCCTATCTCTGTGAGGATATGTTTGCATAAAGACAGCATGGAGAGAGGTGTTCCTGGGTGCTACAAACTGTCGAGAGCTCAACTGCCAACTAGAAGGTTGGAGGTTCAAACCACCAAGCAAGGTTGGAGGTTCAAACCACCAAGCAGTGACTTGGAAGAAAGGTGTCTGTTTTCAAAAAAAAGTTAAAGCCTTGAAAGCCTGGCGTAGTACAGTTATACTCTGCCTGGGGTCACCAGGAGCTGGAATCACTCAATGAAAATGTATTATTTTAAAAAATGCCCAAAGATACGAATATGTTCTTACTCCCACCATATATGGTTCTTTAAATGCAACATGAGAATGTAGTTATAGTTGCTGTGTACCATCGAGTCAGAACTGACGCATAGCTGACTCTCCAGTGGGTTTTCAGAGGCAGTTAACTGCATGGCAGGGGATTGCTTATCTTTTGTCCCAAGGAGCAGCAGGTGGACCTGAACAGTTTAACTCTAGGTTGCCAGCACAACTGGTTTTGGGGAACATCTTAAGCCTCTTCTTCATTTCCAGCGCTAAATGCATTTCCTTTTTTTCTACTCTCCTGCTAGTAATTTGGAGTCCTTGGGGAGCAAGCCGCTGTTGTTGTTGTTATGTGCCATCAAGGCTCCTGTGACTCATAGCAACCCTTTGCACAACAGCTCTGAACCCTGCCCTATTGTGAGCTAATCTCACTGTTTCCAGCGCACTTACCCCCATTATCCCAGTGTCAATCCATCTCATTCAGGGTTTTCCTCTCTTGTCCTATCCTACCACTGTTCCAAGCAAAGGCTGGTCCCTCCTGGCAACATGCCCAAAGTATGTGAGATGGAGTTTCAAAATCCCTGCCTCCAAGGAGCAACCTGGTTTTACCCTCTCCAGGATAGACCTGTTTGTTTTCTTGGCAGTCCATGGTATGTTCAATATTCTTCTCCAGCACCACAACTCAAAGGCATTGATTCTTCTTCTGTCATCCTTATTCATTGTCCAGCTCTCTGATGCATAGCAAGTAATTGCAAAGACTGTGACCTGGTCACACTTTAGTCTCTAGATTGACAGTTTTGCTCTTCAGCACTCTAGAGAGATCCTTGACAGCAGGTTTTCGCCAATGCAATTTATCTTTTGATTTCCTGACTGCAGGTACCAAGTGTGTTGATTATGAATCTGAGCAAGATGAAATTTTTAACAATCTCAATTTCTTCTTCTTCATCTATCATGATGCTGTCAATTGGCCCAGTGATGAGGGTCTTTGTCTTCTTGATGTTGACCCTGAATCCTTATTGAAGACTGCCGTCCTTGACCTTCTGCAGCAAATGCTTCAGGACCTCCTCAGTTTTGGTGAGCAAGGTTTTGTCATTTGCAGAATGCAGGTTATTGGAGTGTAAATAGTGAGCCTTGTGGTGCAGTGGTAAAAACATTCTGCTGCAACACAAAATGTCAATAGTTGGAGCCCACCAGTTTCTCTGAAGGAAGAAAAAAGATGTAGCAGTTTCTTTGTGTAAAGGTTTGTACAGCCTTATTTATGTACCTTTTGAAGAAGTTCTACTCTGTCCAGTAGGATCTCCATGAGGTGGAATTGACACGATGGCAGTAGGTTTTGGGTTTGGGTAATGTAAATGGTTGACAAACTTGGCTGATAACTGAAAGTTTGGAGGTTCAAGTCCAACTAGGGGTGCTTTGAAGTTAGGTTGCACAGTCTTATTTCTGAAACATCAGCTATTGAAAACCCTATGAAGCATTGTTCTACTCTAACACATACAAGAGGTGACTGTGAATGAGTTGAATCAACAGAAATTGGTTTGTTTTTTTTTTTTTAGAAATTGGTTTTTACTTTTGTTATTTTGCCTGTAATTTATCATTTACAAAACACTTTCATAAGCGTTGATTTGCTTGAGAGGGACATGGAATGTTTCAGTGCGGCATCATTTGGCCTATGAAGGTCTACACTGGAGAGTTTTAGCCTTCACAAACTCTCCTTTGTTTTTCTTGATAAGAGTATTAAGTGGATATTTGTGGACTATATTAATGAATGTCCTAAAGATATGAACAAACTGATAAAGAGCATATTTGCACAATTGCTTTTAGGTTGAATGAGTCATTATTAAATCTTAGTTCACTTATTATTTAAACCCACAACTGTGGAGTTGGTTCAGGCTCATGTCAACCCTCTGTTGAGATTTTGAGGCTGTAAATCTGTGGGAGAAAACTGTTCTTCCTACAAAGCAGCTGGTTTATTGGAGCAGCCCGATGTGTATGCTTACACCTTACCTGTCACTTAGCTATGTGACTTTAAGCAAGTTATTTAACCTCCTATGCCACAATTTTCTCATCTGTAAAGTATGAACAGTATGAGTTATTATCATACAGAGTTGGAGTCAGCATTGGTTGAGACAATACATGCTTGGTAAATAGTAAAAACACGAAACATTACTACTACTACAACTACTGCTACTGCTGCTACTAGTACTACTACTACTACTTCTACTATTATCCCATAACTATCTTATCCCATCAACTATCTTACATTAAAAATTCTCCAGTGACTTCTTAGTGGTCTCATGGCCCAGTTAATAAAGACTTGCATTGCCAACCCAAAAGCAGGCTATTTCGAATCCACCAGCTGCGCTGCAGGAGCAAAATGAGTAGTCTCTTCCTATGCAGTTTAACCTCTGAAAACTCAGCTGGAAGGTTAGCTGTGAGCCTGTTCTGACTGTTCTGATTCCATGGCAACGAGTTTTTAAGAAAGACTTCTTGAAGGACCCCCACCAGTGCAATGATTAAGTGCTTGACTGCTAACCTAAAGATCAGAGGTTTAAGCTCACGCAGGAGCTCTTCTGGAAAGAGACCCAGTGCTTCCTTAAAGATTTTAGTCTAGAAAGCTGTCTGGAGCAATTCTGCTTTGTCACCTGGGGTTATTTAGGGTCAAAAATTGACTTCATGGTACTCAACAACGATAAAGACTTCTTATCCGGAACCACTGTTTCCATAACACTTGAAGTGGGTTATTGGACAACTTAGCTGTAAGCACTGCAGTTATTGGCTGAGTAACTGGGGCACAGTGAGTTTGTGTGAAATAAAAGAGCATGGAGTCAGTGTAAGAAGACAGGGAGCCACTTGGGTCCATGGTTTTTCAACGGTGTGTGATATATAGAGCTTGTCATAGGCTATAAGACAGTGATCAAGACTCTGGAAGCAACAGTTTTAAGAGAAATTCAACCCAGAATAGATTGTGATAGTTAACAGAGAAATAAGACTACTGCACTGCAATCCCAAAGGCACATGGTTCATATCCACCAGCTGCTCTACAGAAGGCTGGGCAGTCTCCTCTCATGGGATCAAATTGTCTGAAAACCTGCTGGAAGATCAACTGAGAGTAGGTTCTGACTCAACAGCCACAGCAACAGTTACAAGTC